ACAAGCACTCAGGAGAAACAGCTTTTATCTTTTTGAATGCTCATTCTGTGCTGCGTATTTCCTTACTACGACGACATTTCCCAATTAGAGGCAACAGCTTCTAGGTCAACAAATTAAGAGTTGAGACCAAGATTGAGTTGCTGCTAATAAATCACATGTATCAGGAAAAGATGAGCCAGCATGATCTAATTTATGTATCAAGAACAGAAAAAATTATAGATGCTTGACAAACAATATACAGAAAATGAAAAAAATGCAACAAGTTACCCAGCTTCTAGCGATGGATGTTATTTTAGCAGGCTGGATATTTTAAAAAATATTGCTCACTACAAAATCAGCAGTATTAGGATGCTGCACCTATTAAAATTATACAATAAGGACACTACTAGCTTCTACAATCTTGATAACAGTCCTGACAAAAACAGAGGCGGCTGCCTCCCTAAGGAATGACATTACCCTTTCATTCCCAAGCGTGAGAAGCCCCTCTTACAGCTGCTGGCTTGTGCCATGTTTGCGTTCCTGGCTTCTTCCCCCTGGAGTCAAGGGGTCTCTATTTTTGGAAAGACAGACATGAGAAGAACCATTCAAGGATAGTGGGAAAGACCTTTCTTTTTTTCTTCTCCTTACCAAGCTCCCTGTGAAGGTCTGGAAGGATGAATTATGAAGTTTCTCTATGTTGGGACAGAAATTATTTATGGTGAGCAAGACTAGCTTCTCTGATGGAAAACAGCAGAGTAGATATCTTTGTGCTAGGCAACCTGCAAATATTCCCACTCCCTTCCATATATCCTGATAAGCAAAATGTACCTTGCTTCATATTCAAACTCCACTTTACACAAACATTTTGCAGGTGAATAGGTTGCACCTACACCTCACTATTATTCTTCTTCATACTTCTTTTCTGTTTATACATCCTTAATGGTGTACTAAAGGAGGACTTTTCCATTTGGTTTCAGTTACAGTAATAATGCAGGAAAGAAAGCAGAGTGAAACAAATTAAGCACAAAAGCCTCTAGAACAGTAAAAAGCCTGTAGAACAGTAGTCCACTAAGCCAGTGGTCTCCAAATTTTTTGATGGCGCGCACCTAACAGTAAAATTTTTTTGAGCATGCACCCCCAATGTATGTATATTTATTTATAAATTATACACTTCTAGTACTAAAGTTCC